AGAATGACAGAGCTGCTGCTGTTCCTGCTTTGGGGTCTAGATAACGCCACCCCTAACTCCAGTGATTTTATACCATTGCTGTGAACATTAATCAGAGCTCTTCCCTGACTATTCCTGACTCCAGTACTCTGCTTTTCATAGCTGTAATCATGGAATGGTTTGGGTTGGAAGGAACCTTAAAGATCATCTAGTTTCAGCCTGCCTGCCATGGGCAGGGTTGATAATATTCCCAGTTTCTTACCAATGATAAAACCTGTCCTGTTGCGTGACCTCTGCAGGACTCCATTCACATTCTGATGGCGAGAGTGAGAAGTAGGGGAGGTGTGTGTGGGGCACCCATGGGAAGGTGCTCCAGTCTCTGCCTGTACCTTTGCTCTGTGGATGACACAGAGCACTGCAGCATTCCAGTTTTCTTGGAGCTAGTCTTACAGAAATAGAGGTTAGGTTGTTTTAATATGTTTATTTCAAAGGAAGGAAAAAAGGACAAAAATGTTGGTAATAGTGTTGGCAAATGCAGTTAAAAATTATTTTCCTTTCTCTCCCAAGCGAAAAACAATGGGTGATTCAAGTTTTCTTCAGAAAAAGTGGACTATCATTGTTAAGAGATTTCTGTGTTTTTTAGTCAGGATTTCTTCATTCATTTTGGGTTTGTTCCTTAATAGAACAAAAACAGTTTCTGAATGTTGGACTTCTAATATCTCCTTACAAGCATCTTAACAAACTTTGTGGGTGAATATCACAACGATTTGGAGTCATGCTTTTGGATCCGAGAGATCTTAAATTCAGATGTTGGTGTTTTTTTGAAACCACAGCTAATTATTTGTGCAGTAAGGTCAGTTCCACTGCTTTCAAGATGCTAATACACTTAGTACAATACAGTTCCTCAGACTGTGGGCTGGATGCCTGTCCCTACCCACACAGGTGTGCCATTATTATTCCTTTTATGGAAGTTACCATTCTTAATCATCCATTGCCGCCTCTGAACTTGGGAGCCTCTGTTTCCCCTGAAACACCAAATGGAGCTGCTTATGAGAATCCTCCCATCCCTGTGTTTTTAGGATCATCTAGATGAGTTTAAGCAGTAGGTATTTGCTGATCCAGCTCATTTTGACAAAAGCCTTTTAGACTGTTTATGTAAGCAGGCAGAGTTAGGAAATAGTTTCTGGCAAAGTAGCACCACTGAGCAGCAAAGGGTTGAGCTGGTGAATGTTTCCTTTTCACCACCACGAGGTTTTCTGTTATACCTTCAGTGTAGCTATAGTGCTGGTGATGAGTTTCAGTTGGTACTGATTAAATTAGTCCCATAAAGGAATAAGAAATAAATTAGTATTTCTCTAGCAATTTATGTAATAATACAGCTATAATTTAAAAGTAATACAAAACACCACACTTCAAAATTATGTAGTTACTTAAAACAGTGTGTAAACAAAGAGTTAATTAACATGGTGATTAACTTTGGGCATGCCATTAGTTGTTAATACCTAGTTCCTGAACATTTACCAAACTTTCAAAACTGCTTTTCAGTATCTGATAAATACATGATTCAGTATGTTTTCATTATATGTATATAAAATCTATGGCTGATTTTGGTTTGTTTTTGGGGGGTAGTATTTATCACAATTCAAAAGTAAACTGGTTTAGTGGGGGAGAAGGGATTTGTTATCCTATCTGTCAACAATAAACTGTCAACAGTAACTTAGAAAGTTTCCTCTGTATGCTTATGCAATATCCTAGGATGAGCTTTAACGGTTTCGAAAACATGAAGACACAAACGTCATTGTCATGTCAACATGTAATTTTTAAAGCATACTGTTAAAAGTTGGAATTCTAAGGGATTTGGACGCTAAAGAAAAGCTGCTATCATTTTGGAGTCCTGTAGCGGCAGTATTTTTTTTCTATATGCATTGAGTCTCATTTCCACATTTAAACTGATTTTACAGTAAGCAAAATGCTTTCCAGGTTTAATGAAATGGAATTTTATGCTCTTAAATGAAAGCTTTCTCGTTTGCTTCTGTGCATCAGCTGTTTCGTTGCATTTCTGTTGCAGCCACAGTATATATGCTGATCTGCTCAGAATTTATATCATTAGTTACTTGGGAATCTCATTAAAAATTATCCTGGAAGTGACATGCAGTTCTTGAAATTTGGAATACATCACTAGAGTTTTCAGGGAAAGACGGTTTGGAAGGTCCCGGTACTGGGAAGCAGTAAGCTATACATAATAAAATAATTCAGTTTGGGGCAAGGAATTATGTTTATAAACACTTCCATTAAAGTGAAGGTTGGCCTTTTAATATGGGGTTAAAACCTTAGCATTGAGTGATGAGTTACAGTTTAAAGAGAAGGTTTCTTGAAACTAGATCCTGCTTTTAGTTTTGGTGTTCAGGAAACCTAAAGAAATTATTTCGTATCATACAGAAGGAAGGCATGCTTAACATTTACCTGAACCATATCTTCTAGATGTCGATGTTGAGTATCACTGGGTTTTGAGGTGGTGTATATTGGAAATGATGTCAAAGCACTGCCTTCGAGATCATTGGAAGATTCAGGCTCACCATGAGAGCGTATAAAGTTTGTGGCAGGGTTCTTGTTTCATACTTGTGACTTAAATAGCTGAATCAGTTTCTTCATGGGGATTGAAAGAGAAGGGCATAAAATTAGATTAAAATATAGAATAAAAGTTCAAGAAAAATACGTAGAAATCTCCAGAGCACTGATGTGCTGTACTTCTGTAAGAAGGATCAGGAACTAGAGCTTGGGCACATGACCCCAAGCTACTTGATGCAAATGAGGGAGCATATCCTCAGGTTTTTGGCAAAAAGGCTTCCTTGCTGTTTGAAGCATACTGTCAACTAAACCAGTCTCTGGATGCAGTGCTAACTTTGGCAGTAGGAGAAATGGTTGAATACTCTCTGAAGATTGAAGGCAATGAGGTAAGATACGGCTTAAAACAAGGTGAAAATGAAGAATCCAAACTGACTCAGTAATTTAGCTTGTGACAGTATTTCATAATAATATAAATTGTTTCTTCTGAGGTTATGAAAACGAAAATAAATGTATGCACAGTATCTTATCTGTCTCGATGCTGCTAAAATGTACGGTGTGAAGAAAGTGTTACAATTACTGAAGATAGAAGTTTTAATGCTGTATAAAATCTATTGCTCTTTTGTATGTTTCCTCCCTTTGTAGACTAATCAGAAACTCAGACTCAGCTTATACAGTGCAGATCTTGTTCTGAAAGTAAAAGTGTAATTTTTTTTTTTCCTTTGTGTGAATGGATGTAACTTTGTGACTAATGGAGAATGTTTCTTTATATTTCAATATTGTATATGCAAGATGTTGCTAATTGTAAAGGGCTTGACAGGCTGCTCACTGGATTTGTTCTGGACAGAAAACTTTGAAGAAGTATTTAATGCAAAACAAAGCCATTTGTCTAACAAAAACCTGTTTTACCTGAAGCTGCATGCTCTGAACAGATTATTGATTAAATGTGTATCATTTTATGGACTGAATAGGGCTACTTCGAAGTCTCTAAGCCTTACATTACCTTCCTAGGTTTTCCTGCTATAGGAATATATCCTTTACATGCATAGACATTAGGGTTGAGGATACATTTATCATACTTGGGGGAGAATTTGAAAAAACCTTAATCTCATATGGAGTATCAGCTATATACGTGCTTAGAATAATTTTCTGTGGTCTGACTTCAGAAGTGAGAAGAAAGTTTAACTGAAAAATAGATGAGCATCAGATGTGAGCCCCAAGAGCCATGGTTTAAGAGTACTGAGAATATTTATCTTTGAGGCAAAAATCAGTTTTCAATTGGAGTTTTAAATCTAAAATTACATTTTTCTCCATCCCTCCAGGCAGACCTCTTAATCCTTATATGTGCTTTTCATGATTTAATTTTTCTTTCTTCTGAGAAAAAGTTTGCCCTAGGAAGATATACTTCTACATAGGTTCAGAATAATGTATCTTCCTAAGGACTGTACTGGTAAAAAACTTGAAATATCCTTCTTTCTTGTCTTGCATTGAGACTTTTTCAAGAACTGATCACTTTTCCTTTTGTGAGTTTTTCATAACTTCAAATGCAAAGGGTTCCAAGATGATAAAAGATAGGAATAACACATGAAAAAGATAGTGGATGAACCTTTTTCTGTTTTGTTTGTTTGTATTTCCTCCAAAAATACGTACATTTTTGCAAGTTAGAGCAAACTTTTTAGCTTTTATTTCTGATACATCTTCAAGGTAATATTTTATAAAACCATATTGATTAGAAACAGATTTTTCTTCCCCTTAAATTGAGTTACTTTCATGAAATAGCATATATTTCTGCTAAAGAGCACAAACAAAGGATTAAGACCTCATTTTTTATGCTGGAATGGTATTCAGTAATTTTGAATCCAGCAATTTATAGGGTTTACAAATACAGATCGTTCTGAGTTTGTTCTTCTGGCTAATAAATTCATTAATATCTGCTTGTTCTCTGTGTTGTTATACTGACTCATTTCCAATTTGATTAAAGAAATTATTTCTCTTATTTATCTGAGGTCTTAGTCTCTCTGTCCCCTTGCATAAATATTACAGAGTTGACCATCAAAATGTATCTCACGGTCCAGAACTTGCCAAAAGATTTAATATATGATGCAGACCATGTCAAGCCCTTAGTTGTAATTAGTTGTAGTATTCTAAGTTTACATATATAACTGTTTACGATTTTGTTGCATTTACTAGGTTTGCTGGGATGGGTAATCTTCTTAAGGTCCTTACCAGGGAAATTGAAAACTATCCACATTTTTTCCTGGATTTTGAAAGTAAGTTCAAACAATTACAAGACAATGAGAGAATCTTTTCTTTGACATAACGCCAAACTGAGGAAAAACTTTTAAAATCTGATTGCTTGCAGTGTGTATTTTCCAGCAAAACCAGTCTGCCCAGGTCCTTGTCTTTAAAACTATTTGTTCACTCAGGACTCCTTTTCTCTTCCTTTTCTATTTTTCAGGAACCAAATGGGAAATCTTTTAAAAGTTCTCACTTGCACAGAGCTTGATCAGGGGCCAAATTTTTTCCTTGACTTTGAAAGTGAGCAAAGCTTCTTGCCTGGCTTGCCTTCTTTGCTTATTATTTCCTAATAAACTGCATGCGCTTATGCATCATAAAGCAATTCAAAAGGGATTTGCAAACAAATCAAATTACACTTCAACTGAACAGTGCTTTTTGATATTTATAAGCCATACAAAATTACTTTAATTCATTCTGAGAAGGGGCAGAAAGATATGAAACTGAAATCTTACCTCGAATTAGTTTCAAAACCCGAGCTGTTCTTAAATTTACATAAGAATGAACTTGACCTCAGCTTTCTTTAGCAAGTCAGTTTAAAAAGAAAAATTCTTTAAGTTGCTTCCTTGAATGGAAATATATGTTGGAAATAAAAAGCTGAAAAAATATAAGCAGTGGAGGTGGCACAACTGTTGCCTAGTTCAGTTGATTTAATGATTCAGATGATTTAACTGGGATTGTTATAGTTTCTAAAGTGAAGGGAAGTGGTCAAAGTGTATGTGCTTGATTGCATCTCTCTTAATTGCATGGTTATCAGTTTGCAAAACAGTGTTCTGCATTCTAATTCCCTTGTCACATCTATATCTGATTCAAAGCTATTTCACTTTTGCTGGTTGCAGCTTCCTTGCATGTACTTCCAGACATTGTCTTGGAAAATGGTTATCAAATCCTTAAATATGCGTTTAATCTTACTTCACTACTGCTATGAAATGATTTTTATTTAAAATGCTAACGGTGTGTGATGTTTTGTCTCTTAATAGCTTCATTCTAAAAAAAAAAATCAACAAAAATATTTTGAGAGAAGCCAGTGTTTTTAAAATAACTTTGAAGTATGGTTTAAGAGGCAGTTTCAGATTATAGACACACATTTTATAACCTTGAAAGTTTTCTTGAATCACTTATTCCTGAATTATTTTTCTGAAACAAAGTTACTGACATGATATGAGAGTGTGTGTGTGTGTGTGTGTGTGTGTGTGTGTACACACACTGAAGCACTGATTCAGAAAGTCGTTTAAACACGTACCTCATGAAATCGTTCAAACATGCTTTCTTGGATGAGAGCTGGAGTGCATGACTATAACTTTGCACATATCTTAATCTCATTTAAATGTTATTTACCTCATTATGAAGAATCAGTTTTAAATTAAAAAAAAAAGAGTTGATAAGTTGGTTTGAGTTTAAGAGAAGGTGCTGTGAGCCATGTATCCCTTTTTCTTTCTATATCATTTGAGAATTTTATTGTAAACCCAGGGTGTCAAACCTTTATCCAAATCACCACATCATTTTTTTTTTTCCCTCTCAAACATTTGAAGGCTTCGGTAGTACTCTGTAGCTTTGCCAAGTTATTACTAAGGTTTTCAGCTGCTCTGAACTTTGAGGTTTAATGTGCTCCATCATGTCCTGGACGGTAAGAACGTGCTGCTGACCCAGGCTGCAGACTTGGCAGGAACAAGAGGTCTGGCAATGGGAAGCCTTTATGGCATGGAGATGGTAGTGAGAGGGGAAAATAATCTGGTTTATTGCCTTGGCAGCAAAGGTTGTTTGGTTTATTTCCTGAAAGTGCATTGCCAAGAGCTGAATGGGATGAAGCACCCTCTCTCACTGGGGGTGACCAGTAGTTAGTGCAAGAACATGGGCATGCTAGTCAGGTATGTCTACCTAGAGAGGAACAAAACTCATCTCCAAATTTCAGTGAGTTTGATGCAAGTGAAAGGTTAAAATGTTTTACTTGTGAAATAAAGTTCTGAAGGCTTTTAAGGCATGAAATCTGTATTGTGTTGAAGGGATGTGACTGAACGCGTCTGTAGTTTTGTGCATTGATCTTCTTTAATTAGCCGTCATACGGTGTAAAAGAATGGATGCTTTTAGTTAGTGGACATAGATAAGAGCCTTCTTGCATGCTTCCTGGATGTGTGAGTGGCTTTCTGTGGCCTGAGTTTTCAGTTTGAGTTCATGAATGAAAATGGTGACTACAGTTGGCCATTCAGAGCATAAAGGGGTATGTGGAGTTCATTGCGTTGGCATAGTGGTTTCTACTTTTTGTGCGCTTTTTCATTAGCCATAAGTTGAAATCTCAAAGTAAATATGTCACTACTACTTCTGAAATGTTTACAGAGGTTTTGGATACTTCTGCCGTGTTTTGCTGGGTTTTTTTTGTGCTCTTCATTTGGTATGTATTCTACCTAAAAGGAGGGGTGTGACATACTTCTTCCTGCTGTGTGTACAATGTGCCACACAAATACTACTTGAAAACACAGAAATGGCCTTTTTCTTTATTTGCAGGAGTAGACCAGATGCAACCTGTTTCCATGCCTCAAAAATCAGAGTCTTTATGAGTTGGTGTTGGTCAAAAGTGATACCAAGTGTTTATAGAAAGAAAGTGGAAAAACATCACGGTGTTAACTTCATTTGACAGTTGATTTCCTCCATGCTGCTCTAAGGGGGATATCCCATGGGTGATGATGTACTCCATAGTCTCACACCCTTATGCTAGAATTGAAATGTAGAACCACACAATTGGCACCCATTGTGAATGCTAGCTGCATGGGAAAATGAATGTACTAAGAACTAGCTATTAAACAGACACCTCCCAAACTTAATATTCTCTCCTCCACTTACTAAATACTCTTCCAGTCAGGTCAGGGTGATGTGGATGAAGGCATGGTTGGAAGAGCCCCAGCAATGGCACATGCATGGAAACAGAAATGCAGGAGAGGACAGCAAACAGTTGTACAGGTTTAGATATCTTAGGTCAGTCCTGAAGCTACAGCGTAAGGTTAGTGTAGTAGGTTTTTATTCAGTTGCTTTCCCGTACTACCCTTAACTAATACACATCATAGGCAATATGTTATGAGTTGCTATGTGCAACAAAAATCATTGTGAGTTATTGTTCTCCGGGAGGAAAATCTGGCACTGCATCTTTTGAAAAATGCCATTATTGGCTTTTGCGTTTGTTTTAAAATATACTTAATTGCAAGTTGCTTTTCTTTGTTTGCATGCTCACTTTTTCCCTTAAATATTTTTCACCAGCCTGAGATTTTTTATATTTAGCCTTAGTCCTTTCAATACATTTCTTCTATGCAAATCTTGAGGTCTTGAAAAATGGGAAGGTACAAACAGAACTTAGAAAAATAAGTTTTCTTACCTAATTCAAAGTTGGGTTTTTTTTCTTCAAAATCTTTTTATGTGCTATAGTTGAAGATGAGCAGAAGTCATGAAAAAGAAGTAAGTTTCAAATTTCAACTTCCAGTTGTTGGGGGATTTTAATAGCTATTTTAATTTTTCCCTTGAAAAGTTTAGGCTACCAAAAATATAATGTTTAAAATTATCTCCTTTCCCCCCCATTTCCTGCAGCTGTCTGTAGCATCAGTTGTAATTCTTGTGACATCTTTCGGTAGCATTCTTCTTCATTCCAGATGGGGAACCATGTTTCGTAACTCCATAGTCATACTTGAAAAAGCTTGAACCCAGCATTAGTTTCAGTTAATCCAGTATAGAAGAAGCAGTTCTGTGTGATCACCAGTAATCATTTCAGAGTTAAGCAGTTACTCTGGATCTGTGCAAAGAGAAGCAATTTAAAGATCCATTTAGTCCAGCCTTGAAGGCTAACCGTGACAAATTGAACAGTGGTAACTTCAGAGAGTGATATGGAGAATAGTGTTTTCCTATGCAGGTGAAAAAGCATTTTCCTTGAGGTGAATACAAACTGTCTGCACTCAACCAAATTACTTTTTTTTTTAGGGTTTACTGAAAGATTAATGTAAAAAAAAGAATCTCTTAATTCCCAGAAAGTGAACTGTACTGCTGTTTTACACTTGTATCTTGGTATAGACACTGTTAATCGAAACGCTAGTTACTGGATTGATTATATGCCACTTATTTTGCGTTAATACCTTCTTAGTTCTCAACTAGAAAATAATGTTAGGAAGAGTGAGTGGATGGCAAGTCTTGAGAGTCTGTGCATGTCAGCATTTCATGAGCCCATAGGACAAATTCTCTTGAAATGGATTTTATCAGTTCAAGAACCATTTTGTTCTTTAGATTTTGACCTTGTTTAAAACTCTCACAGGTAAATTAATTCTGGATATTTGAAGCTCTTTCCACAGTAGTTTTCAAGTGTTCTTTTTTTGCAGAAAATCTACTGTCAAATTACTGTTGCCCATAGAGAGCCTATTTCAGGCAAAATAAATAATTCCACATGAATTCTTGGAAATACTTTTATGGTTGAGGTAAATTTTATTTTATTTTTTTATATTTTTTTTTAGCTTAAAATACTGAAGCTTACAGATTACACCTTCAGTACCATCCTCTCCTCAGATAATAAACAGCTTTCATAAGACCAAACTCTCTAACCTTAACCTGAGCAGGTTCCCTTTTTTCCTAAATATTAGGGAGCTTGGTACCTGATCCTGATTTAATCCCCCTTATACTCGCAACAGTCAAGGACTCTTATTTTCTAGGATTTCCCATCCCCTGAAATAGTAGTGAATTTTTCAGTTATCGTTGTTCATGTATGATTAAAAGTCTCTTATTAGAACATGTCTGGCAGCAGAGCAACTGCCCAGTTTTTGCATTATAGGGTATTAATGCCCTTGTTCTGCAGGTGCAAGGATAGAGATGGATTCTGTTTCCAGCCAGCTGGAGGTTAAACTCTTGTTTCCTTGTGCTGTAGGGAGTACCCTAAGCAAGAGGCAGTGGCTCAGTCAGAGAGAGGCCCGTCCACTTCCGTCACACAGCTGAAGCTTGGCACTGATATCCCTTGCACAGCACCATGCCTGTAGCAAATATTTAAATTAGGGAGCTTCATTTTGTTACAACTAGTTTAGAAAGTTTAGATTCAAAAATCCATTATAGGGTACTGTTTCTACCTAATACTATTCTTTAATGTATGGAGTGCAGCAGGTTCTGATACCCTCAAAAAAAAAACATTAGTCAGTGTAATAGTAGTCACTGTCATCTTTTCTGAGGACATAAACTAGCTTTTTGTCTAGTTTTTCCCAGATTGGAATAGGAAAAACCACGGCTATGATGACAAACCTGAAATAAGACTTTAGCATTATACAGTAAAAGAGACTTACTGCTCTCATAACTAGTCAGTGACTAGTGGAATTATTAGCCACCTTCAGGCAGTGGATAGGAGAAGAAGAGCTGAAAGCAGAGCCTGGAAGGCATCTTGTTTTATTCACTCTCCCTCTGCTAGGCTGTCGAGGCCAGGAGGGTATGATGTGTTAATGACAAATATGATTCCACGTTCACGGAAATGAAAGCAGTAACCAGCTTCCGCGGGAATCCTAATCTGCAGACAGTTTGACTGAGGGGAGAAAAACACTCTGTGTGTCTGGTCTGCATTTCAGATACAGGAAGGGTGCATAGTTTAGATGCAATTTTTAGTTCTGTCTTACCTTTTCATACAAATTAATTATTTGGATATTATACTTGATTTTGCATTGATAGAGGCTTCATATGCTACTTATATTTAATCTTGTCCTATGAATATTAATGTATTACCTTCATTGCAGTTTCTGTTTCTTTGAATTCTCCACTTGGTGAAGAATGAAAACTCAAAACTGTTCAGAAAACTATTAGGGTTTTTTTTCTTGAAGGGGAGAAAACAAAACAAAGTACAGGTATTTGTCTAGAAAAGAACAGCAATTGTACATTCGTACCCCACCAGACACCTGAAATATTTAATGCATGCACAAATGGATTGTTATGGGTCTGGAGTTCCACCTTCTTTTAATGAAAGTCTGAAGCCCCATCCAAAACATTGAATAGACCATAAGTAAAGGTGAAAGAGAGCATTTGTTCGTGGAATGGATGAATTGTCATATCCTGATTATTTCTGATGGAGCCAGTGAAATTGCATTCCTCCCCAGAGATAAAATTTTTGCTTTCTAAGTGAAAATTTCCTGGTAGAATCTGTATATGGCCGAGTCAAGCATGATCTGACTCTTGAATTAATTTGATAGAGTATTCATTTAGTTGTCAGGTTTAGGATTTGCTTTAGAAAGATTTAGGCAAAGTTGAAAGGATTTCCTATTTGTCTTATTAAAGACAGTGTACTCTGAATGCTAATCATGAGTACTCAAAACTCATGAAATGCAGTAAGTCTGGTGATTTTGATAACTTATTATTGAGAGGGCTTGCATTCAATGTGGATTACTCAGTACCTGTGGTTTTATTTATAAATTGGCTCAAATTGCCTAAATGCATGCTGGTTCTATGGTGGTATGGGGTAAGAGGAGAGCACAGCCAAGCAGTGATTCCATGCTGTGATTCAGGAATGACATTTTTTTACTCAGAACAGGTTTTGGTATTTTTGGAATAGAAAACCAGTTTTAAAAAGCCAAAAGCTGACATGAAGAAATCTATATTTCTTTTAGTTGTTGTTGCTGCAATTACTATTATTGTTGTTGACAGCAAAATGAGATCTTTTTCAAAGTAATTGATTACAGGTATTTTAGCTGACCATTTTTGGCGAGATCTTCATATATATCCCTTTTGAAACATGGCCATGATCTTATCAGAACATCTGTTTGCATAACATATATTTCATAAGTAAGGTGCATGGGTTTTTTTTAAAAGTCTGAATCATCCTCTCAATCCTTATTTGTAAGCTAAACACTTTCAGCTTTAATATAAACTGCTTCTGCAAGTGCAAGCTAAGCCTGTTGCTCTGTAGCTTTTGCAGCCCTCTTCCTCTCCCTTCCCTTTCTTTCCCTTTTCCACCCACCTACCTTCCTCCTACTCCTACTTCCCCAGGTGCTGGGATCCTACAAAAAGCTTAGTGGGTTTCAAATTCTCAACCTTTCCCCAACTTCAAGAAGATGAACTGGGAAATTTTTAAAAAGACTAACAATAGGGGTGTTAATAAAAGTAATTTTTAAGTGCCAAAATGCTGAGCTGGCTGTAGTGTTAAAATTTTTATTAGAGGCTAACATTTTTTAAAGTAAATAAATTGTAAAACGTAATTTAGAAGCACCTTGTTAACCAAAGCATGCTTCAGGTGATGTGAAAATGCAAATTTTACACTTATGAACTGTACTGATAAATAACTTTTTTATGTCTTAATATTTACTGAAAAAGTTACTTATATTTAACTATTAAAATATAGATACTGATTTATAGGTGACACCTGTCTTCCCTTACTCTGTTGTTGAATGGTGTGTAACTGTTCAGCAAGATGGCTTTCTCCATTAAATTCAGAAACGTTTACTCTTTTGTTTAGCACAAGGTGACAGATCCCTTACTGTGTATGAATGAGATTTCTTGCAGCTTGGGGAAAGAACCAGTTAGTAACACTGTAAACTTAAACTAATAGGTTGGTTCAACAGCTGTGTCCTAGCTGGGATTTTCCTGTTAGGGGCAGTTTTTGGTTTTTTTTTTGTAGTTATGTGAAGTATCTTGGATATAAAACCCAGCTGAGTAAGCCTGGCTTACTTTTGCTTTCACTTGTTCTGTCTTTTAAACAAGATTAGGTAAAAATTCTGTAGTGAAACAAAAGTCAAATCAGATTGTTTTGTGTGCCCAGTCTCATGGGACTCACTGTGACATAGGAATATAAGAAAGATTTTAAGTGTTAGTTTCTTCAGAGCTGTGGACATGTAAATCTCACCGGTATGTCTCGTATTCATGCAAGGTCCCTAGATAACTTGAGACATTTAAACAAATTATCCTAACCTGAATTGTCATGGAGAGAACACAGCTCTTTCCATACACTCCAAAGTGAAGTGGTTCATTTGTTTCCAATGGGGGGTAGGTAAACAAATACAGTTATGATAGATGGGTGGAAAACTGTGTCTTATTTCTTGATGACAGTGAGGAGAATAAATGGAAAAAGTACTTTTAAAATTTCTTGTCTTTTGATGTTGAGATGTATACAGTAGCCCTTAATCGGTGTGTTTAGAACTGAAGGTATCTCATTGCCTTTAATTCAGACAAGTAGACCTTAAGTCCTAAGATGCACCTTCAAAATATTTTTTTCTTCCATTATAATTAAAATTCTATCTTTACATGCAAATACACATTTAAAGGGAAAGAAAAAAATGTGTCTTTGTAGAAATCTTCTGGGACGATGATTGTTTCTACAAATACTGATTACAGGTCTATATGTAAGTCATCCAGTTTTTCGTCAGTGCCAGTTGTCTTGATGTTTTAAAGCAAGAGAAGGTAGAAGATGTCTAGCATGTTGATGTTCTAGGGACAGCATTACTCCCTGGTGTGACACTGCTGTGAAAATCCCATCGGATGGGATTTGAATGGGAAAATTGATCTACTTCCAAATGTCATTTCTCTGAACAATAAAGGTCTACAGGTCACTCCCTCCCTGAAAACTGATCACTGACAGAGTTGGATTTATTTTTGTAACAGGAATGATCTCTGACATAAGAAAGATGTTTATTTTTAACAATACTGTATCTGTGTTATACAAAAGGAGAAATAAATTACTGTTGTTAAGGAAGCCTGGAGGAAAGTCAAAGTGGCATAATATCCCACTGCTCCGTCCTCTAAAAAGCTGATTTTATCCCCAAGCTGCAAGAAGAGTGAACAACTCTTTGTAACTGAGCTGTAGAGCTTATGAAAGAACGTTTTTACTAAAGGATTGATGCATTATCTATTTCCAAGTAACATTGCTTTATGATACTGCTTCACTTTAAAATGCTGTGTTTTGAGAAGAGTCGTTATGAAGCAGAGTATGCAAAAAACATAGAAAGCAGAAACTTGGAAGTTAGCAGAATAGCAGTGCGGTATAATTGTATCCTTTATAAAAACACATCAAAATGGAGTTACACATAGTCAAGCTGGATATAGTGTTAAGTAGAACTGAGTAATCTTGCCATTTGCATTGCAGCTACCTTTTGACTTTGTACATTTTGCTTTTCTATTTCTTAGATGCACAGCCCACGGATGGAGAAAGGGAGGTATGGAATCAGATCAGTGCAGTTTTACAGGACTCAGAAAGTATGCTTGCAGACCTTCAGGCGTACAAAGGAGCTGGACAAGAAATTAGAGATGTATGTTTGTTAATGACAGTTCTTTGGAAGCAAAATCAAGTGAAAAAAACCCAAGCACATTCTATGAAATGTCATGATTTAGAATCAGAGACTGGTTTGGGTTGGAGAGGACATTAAAGCTCGTTTAGTTCCAACCCCCTGCCATGGGCAGGGACACCTTCCACTAGAAGAAGTTCTCAAAGCTTCATCCAGTCCGGCCTGTAACACTGCCAGGGATGGGTCAACCACAACATCCCAGCAGAGCCTGTTCCTATGCCTCACCACCCTCCTAGCAAAGAATTGCCTTCTTATGTCTAAGCTAAATCTACCCTCTTGCAATCTAAAGGCAGTAGTCTTTGTTCTATCAATACATGCACTCATAAAAACTCCCTCTCCACTTTCTTGTTGGCCCCTTGTGGTGCTTGGAGGCTGGTCTAAGATCTCCCTGGAACCTTCTCTAGGCTGAACAACCCCAACTGTTTCAGCCTTTCTTCACAGGAGAGGTGCTCCAACCCTCTGATCGTCTTCGTGGCCTACCCTGGCCCCACTCAAACGGGTCCACATCCCTCTTTTGGGCCCCAGAGCTGAATGCAGTACTGCAGGTGGGGTCTCAGGAGAGCGGAGTAGGTGGAGGGAATCACCTCCTTGTTGAACTTCATGAGGTTCACATGGGCCTATATCTCAAGCCTATCTGAAAACTCAGAAAATATATTACAGGTTACGTGTACCATTGAATACAAAGACCTAAATATTTTTTATTTTTTTTTACTTCTTAAGCTTACTGTTAGTAATTACTATAATTTTTCACTTTTAATAGCATATTTCATATGCCTCATTTCATATATCTCATGGTAGAAGTCAGAGTTGAGGACGTGGAAGAAAATGCTCAGATGTCAAATACACTATAGAAGAAGTTGAAAATAGTATTCTGTGTGAGTGAAATAATGAATCACAGTAAATTATAACCTTACATCCATTTTACAGGCATCTTATCCTGTGAAACTGGTCGAAAACTACAATTTTGAACTTTTAACTTAAAATTTAAATATTCAAGGTCAGGTTGGGCGGGGCCTTGAGCATTCTGGTCTTGGAGCTAGATGTTTTTTAAGGTCCCTTTTAACCCAGACTGCTCTATGATTCTATGTTTTTTCTCAGCTAACCAAACATTTCTCTGCATCAGCTTCACAGTTACTGTTAGCGTGAGCTGTTGGTTGCTTGAAAACCTGAATATGTTGAAGATTTCAAAAGCATAAAGCCCTTTGTATAAAGGCTATTTCTGCAGTCAGTAATCAGACAAAAGGTGTTACCTGATGCTTCTACAGTAGTTTTGCTCTCAAAAATAATATGCAAATATATATTTCTGTATATAGTGGTGTATTGGAATGAATAATCTTAAATCAGTGCATTATGAGGAAGAGGAAAGGTGGAAAGCATAGTAATTGTTGGTCTTTGTAATTTCCTATTCCTGTGCGGTGTAATTTGTTATCATTGTTCTATGTTTTATGGTACTTACTTTCTTAAAATAATATGGTCGAAAAATCTCAATCCACCTTTTGCTTGTTATTTATATACCACAGTTCTTTACAGTAATATTTTCATTTCAGGCAATACAAAATCCCAATGATATCCAGTTGCAAGAAAAGGCATGGAATTCAGTATGTCCTCTCGTTGTAAGGCTGAAGCGCTTCTATGAGTTTTCACTCAGATTAGGTGAGTCCTGGTTTAGTATGTCTATTAGGTTACTTTATATATAAAGAAATAGGAAGCTTCTTTTTCCACAGCCTTTAAAGGGTTGTTATTATTATTTGTATAATATGAGCAGACATTTAAGTGCAATTAAATTTATCAAGGCATATTTTTAATCTTAATTTGATTTCAAAATTACCACAGTTTGTTAATTTAACACTTAAAATAAGTCTGTATTCTCTAACTACAGTACAAGAAAAGAATGCAATAAAACTGTGTCAAGTTTTTCTCTGGTGCGTGTCACTCTCTCTGTGTTTCACTGTTCAGTATTGTGCTGATGGAATTTATTTTTTTGTAATTTGGGTACTTCAGAGTTTTAAAAGGAATGTAAAACGATAATACTTCAAAATATTTTAAAAACAGGGATAATGGGGTAACTATCCCAGGGAGAAAGGGTATTAATAAACTCTCTCACACAGTGAAAACCCAAAGTTTTACGCTGACTTTTTCATCCCTACAAACCCAAAACATGGTGTAATTACTCCTTGAATTAGGACTGTGGAAGAGAACCAGTATGCAAAAAGTATGTATGAAGTGGGAGAACTCCCAGTGCAAGGAAATTCTTCTACAACATCCTGCTTATTAAGTCTTTCATTTCTTGAGTTATGCTAGTAATTATAGCTGCGGGAGCCGGATTACATTTCTGTCAGTGCCTGAGAGTACACTTTTAGTAACAGAGATGCCAGAATAATCTCTATACTGAGCTGATGGCTAATTGGGAAAGATGAAAGAGAAAGGTTTGACTTATCTGAATGCAATAAAAATGCTTTCTCTAGAATATTTGATAGAGAACCCAGGTAAAGGGTGATAAAAAGGGGAAAAGAGCTGACTGCTAGAAAATGGAGAGGAAATGGCAGAGAGCCTGAACCGTCAGGTATCTGACTGATGTTTCTCATATTCGAATAGTAAGAAAAGCATTTCCATTAGGGTTCTGCATGTTTGGAGGGTTCATTCCCTTCAAATAACATATATTTAGATACTTAAAATGTGTCATAATGTGGACTGAATAGAATTTGTGCTTCTGATTTTTATTCAGAGAAAGCCCTGCAGAGCTTATTGGAGTCGTTGACGTGCCCGCCTTATACTCCAACTCAACACCTGGAACGGGAACAGGCTCTAGCGAAAGAGTTTGCTGAAATCTTACATTTTACTCTTCGTTTTGATGAACTTAAGGTTAATAAAATCTTTTAATACGTGATTTTTTTTTCTGTGTATTTTGGACTGAAACTGATTATTTCCTGTTTTTCTTTCTCAAAGATGAGAAACCCAGCAATTCAGAATGACTTCAGTTACTACAGGCGGACAATAAGTCGCAACAGAATAAACAACATGCATGTAAGTAAATAAAATCTGATCTGCTGCTCACACTGAGGTATTTGTCAGTTTGCACTTATACCATTTGAGGTAGTATTTTTCTTTTGATTTGCTAGCTGTCGTTCTGTCCTTCAGACTGAGTGTTAATCAGCAGTTCACATGAAGCAAATCGAGTTGGAACTATTCATGCAACAATCTGCTTGCTGACATGAGCATGTACTGTGTCTTTTTCCTGCTGCCAGCAAGATTTAAAGAGTTTTGCTGACTATTTTTTCTCATGTTTTCACCAGCTAGACATTGAGAATGAAGTTAACAATGAAATGGCCAATAGAATGTCCCTGTTTTATGCAGAAGCCACACCAATGCTGAAAACAATGAGTAATGCAACTACATATTTTGTATCAGAAGTAAGTTACGGGGTAGAAAAGGTCTATCACAGACATGCCTGATGACAGTTTATTGAACCTTTGGTGTTTTTTGCTCTTCTAGAACAAAACATTGCCCATTGAAAATACAACGGACTGTCTAAGTACTATGGCTAGTGTTTGTAAAGTCATGTTGGAAACACCGTAAGTTTTACATTAAATCTTGTTCTTCTTGTGTGAGAGAATTTTGTATTGTATTTTACTTGGCACCTGGGATAAACAGAGTTTTTTCCAAATGAATTCCTTTATGTATGCCTTAAACTGCTAGCACCTTTATATACAAAACATTGTATAGCATTTATATACATTTATATAGAAAGCTTTGTATATAAAAGTTTATTAGAAAGCCTTGCCTCCGATTTTAAGCACCTGATAATATTTTTAATGAATTTTAATATATTATTTTAATGAATTCAGTTTTCTCAGGGGGAGCTTAACATGGTCAGCCTGCCTTTCAACAAAAGGTTAAAATGGTGTAATAGGCTTCAGTGTCTGTGTCTCCTCTAACGGGGCCTTAGGCCACCTACTGTTTCTTGTTTGCCCGTGCTGCTCACTTACTAGCATACATAGGGGAAAGATTTTAGCTTTTTCAAATAGTGCTTTTAGAAATGATACATACAGCCTATTTCAAAGATCATTTGAGTAGATCTTGTTTGGATGCAGCCATCTTATTCTGGATATGAGGCAATTCATCTGTATAGAAACTGTACAATTGTGTTTGCATCTAATAGTGTAGATAGAACCAGTGGGCTTGCTATTGTTTAGCTGTGCATTTAGTCAAGTGCTTTTTAGGTTAGATGTTAAGTAGAAAACAGATACAAGATAGTCAAGGTAGTCTTCTTGTCTTTGAATTGTTTGTTCGTGGTGCCATATAAAGGACAGAATTCCTGAGGTTACTGTGTTTATGAAAGTTCTGGAAAAGTGTATGTAGGTAGTAGGACTCATCTCTCAGTCCCAGGACATCCTAGTAACTGAAGAGTAACCTTATGTGTCAGTGCATTTTTTTGCAAAAGTAGAGAAACAAAGTTGTGAGTCATGTACCAGAAGGTTATCTGATATTTAGTTCTAGTTGTGGGCTAGTCAGGCATTTTCAATATCAAAATGTCTGTAGCCTTTAAATCTCTTCATGTTATGATACTGTGTAAGAATAAAAGTTGAAGTTACTCTAAACTGAAAGGTAGTACAGTACAGATTTTAGTATTTTGATGATACATTTAAGTGAAAAAATCAAATGCTATATTGAAAATCAGTGAATGACAGTAGACGAATCTATGTATTACATATTCTAAATATTCATTAGAAAAAGTGTGATTTTTCTGGGGTTTAGGATTTCTGTTTTTCTCTACTGTAAGCAGTGTTTTCGTTTCCTGACGATGGTTTCAGGGATTAGAGCCAGTAGGCGCTTTTAACTGAGAGCCACCCGTACTCTTATTTTGAAACTGAAAAGTCAAAGGAAAACTCCTTAGAATTAGTTCAGTACAGTCCTGTTTCGTAGGCCTCCACATTATAGATTCTCAGAACCTGGATAGTTGAAGCTGCCTATAGACTTAGAAAGAGATCAGTGACTATGATCCACCACAGTGAAGTCCTGAATTTACTAGCTGCTGAAATAAGATCCCACTAAACCACATCAAAGTAGGACTTTGAGCAAAAAGAGTAGTTTTCCTTTAAGTTATACATACATACATCCCAGTATGTTGTGTTTCTGATGTTAAACAGAAGTACTATCAGTCTCCATCATGTGTTACGAATTGTGGAAATCTTCTGTGAAGCCATCTCAGACATCTTGCTGAAGTGAGGATCTGAACTGTGAAAGGGGTATTGGAAGAGGTTTACATATCTTTATTTGCTTTCTAACCATTCTTCTAAATTTACTAGGACTTATGCAATTCAGAGATTTTTAAAGTCTTACTAAGACGCATCTTCAACCTTAAAATATAATTTTAGTTCGGATTTCATGTGCTCATAGTCTTAATTTGTAGAATTGTTCAGTACAAAGTCAAGACTATTTCTTTTTTATGTTCTGTTTTCCAGAGAGTACAGGAGTAGATTCACCAGTGAAGAGACCCTTATGTTCTGCATGCGAGTAATGGTGGGAGTTATTATTCTGTATGACCACGTTCATCCTGTGGGAGCTTTCTCAAAGACATCAAAGATAGATGTAAGAATGACTTTTCTGTAATACTCTGTAGATGTGAGAAAATTAGTCTACAGCTCTTCTTAAAACACAAGCTTATGGCTTTGTATAAATCATTTTAATTACTTTTGAATGGCAAAATTTGGAATTTATCTTCATCTGCATATACATATATATATATATATATAAGCTAGTTTGAAATTAAAATAAAAAGCAGGGGTTTTGTGGTTTTGGTTTGGTTTAGTTTTGTTTTTTGTATTTTCTTCCAGGCACAGATACTTGTTTTTCTGTTATCTATGTTTTCCTGCCAGCTGTATGGTTACACTAACATAATTTTGTATTATTTTGTATTATACGCCTACCCTGGAGTAAGTGCTACGGTCATAATTTTTTATTAATCACATAATTTATTTATGCTGAAATGCTCATCTGTGGCAGTATTTCTGCTGTAAATAAGCAGATACTCAACATTGTCTTTGCTTTGTCTGAAATCTGAAGTAAGAGAACTGAAATGTTACTGTTGCAATGTTGATAATGAGCCTTCAGGTTTAGCTTTGGCATAAGCAGTCACAGGGTAATCAACCTTATTATTTAATTTCAGATATTGCAAGCACACACAAAAAATGTTCTTATCTTTGCTATGTGTTCTTAGAAACCTAAAGCTCATCTTTCCGCAGAAATAAGCTGTTACATGAAAAAAAAGATGCAGTCTTTCCCTTTACAAGACAGCCTACTTCAGAAGAAAATAAGTTATATACCTATGTTATGACATTCAGTCTTTGTTAGCATTTTTCATCTGAAGATATCAGTATTTTACCGCATCTCCTCTTTGACTCTGTTTTACAGAGGGAAAGATATGTCACAAAGAGGTGAATTGATTTGCTCAAGGTCATGCAGCAGACAGAGCCTGGGAATTGAATGCAGACTTCCTGACTGCTAATTCAGTCCCTTGCCTACAGGGACAGCACAATTAAAATTTTGATAGGACCAAATATATAATGTGTGTACTTTGTTTCTCACATTTATCCTAAAACTCTGTAACCTTACAGGAAAGTTAGATAGGTGCAAGTGGAAGGCAGGAGATGTAAGAATCAGTTTTTAAAAATGATTACTGATTCCAAATCGTAATTCACCTCAGTAGTTTAGTGATTCTTTTCTAATAAAAAAATCTTTTAATATTTCAGCTGATCAGTTTGTTTTATTGTAAAACAATTTTTTCTCCAAACTAGTTGCTTCTTGGGGGCTGTTTCAAGAGAATTTCAGGAACAGTGGAACAAACTGCCCTTTCCTTACTCTTTCAGGACTGGAGACTCGATTTAAAGCTTCTCTTTTTTGACTGTTTTAGGGATTCTGATTCTAACAAAACCAGAAAAGAATGGTTTGAATTTTTAGCCCCTTTCAGTTCTTCTGATCTAGGCTGATCTGATCTGATCTAGTGGGACATGTAAACCTGTTCCAAGTGATGTGAATATAGTCTTAAGTTTTTCTAGTTCAGGAAAAGTAACTGTCTCTTCAAAACTTGTGCTGCTACCTGAGAATTTAATCTGTTCCACTAGTTGCAGAGTTGGTTTTGTCTTCCAGGTAGATATGAGCCAACAGAGCACAGGGATCAGGGACTGTTAGGCCAGCCATTGTGCAGGAGGCTGAGCTACATTTTCCACGTAATTTTTATTGGCAAATTCGCAGTCCCTGACTTCAGTTAGGTATTTCATCATCCACTTCCATTATAAGGCAAGTTGCTCTTCAGCTGCAATGAATGTACTGGCTTTTTAGATTTGGCACTGTAATGTGACTTGGAAAATGAGATTTTTAAGTAAGATGGAATTAGTTTAGACTAATTTGTCATTAGCTATTAGATATCTTCTTAGCAATGGAAAGAGAATAGATACTTCTGGAGTGTGACTCATTATATATGAAACTGTATTCTGAACAGGATAAAGGAATTTCTTATTTCTCTATATTGACTAGACAGGGAGTTCTACCTCTTGTTTTTCTGCTTCATTTCTACAAATTTGGACAAAGTTTCAGCCTGTTGTACAGTCTCCACAAAGATATTCATTCAGTGTGGTGTTTAAAATCAACATCATGGATCTCAGATTAAATTCATAACCGTTATGAAAAAAAACATAAGTTATCACCAGTTAGGTTTACAGCTGAAAACTGAATACTGAAAATTACTTCTTGTGTGCAAGTATGTATATAAAAGTCAAAGTTAAAACATCTGTTTGATAGTTGCTAACAATAATGACATGGAACTTGCTTGGTTTTTGTGGGTTTTTTTTTTTAGCTTATATCAGCTTTTCCTGATAATTTTTAAGTTGGAAAAGGAGAAATTATGTTAAAGATAATATATATGTTTATTATCTACAAATGCTCATTAAAGTAGATTACGTTTTCTCAAAAGTTAGCATTTTAACTTAATTTTTAGTAAGTTATGATTTTATTATGTCATATAAAGCAGCATTAATATTCAATAGTGAAAAAAACCTGCCTGTGTGTGGTGAAATGTTTCCTTATTTTCAGCTAGTGCTATTCATATATTATTGTTCAATAGTGGCATGCTTCTGTTCCCAGATGAAGGGATGCATAAAAGTTTTAAAGGAACAACCACCCGACACTGTGGAAGGGCTTCTGAATGCTCTCAGGTACGTATGGAATAATTGTTTGATTCAGCCGTAGCAAATTCCAATTTACTTTTCTTCCAGATCTCTTTAAGACTTTTCACCTTAGATGCTTGATTTATTAAGAAAATATGTTTATTTCATTTCACTTTGATAAGCAGTCACTGTTAGCAGTGGAACTCATAATGTCCTTCTTGAGAGACACTTAAGGCTTGCTTTATTGCCTGAAGCTTATCTAAAAAGATAAGTATGCTTTGGTATATAAAATACCCAAGCAACTAGAACATATGAAGATAGGCTGAGAAAGTTGGGACTGTTCAGCCTGGAGAAGAGAAGGCTGCGTGGAGACCTCATAGCAGCCTTCCAGTATCTGAAGGGGGCATATAGGGATGCTGGGGATGGACTCTTCATTAGGGACTGTAGTGGTAGGACAAGGGGTAATGGTTAAAACTTAAACAGGGAAGTTTAGATTGGATATAAGGAAGAAATTCTTTCCTGTTAGGGTGGTGAGGCACTTGAATAGGTTGCCCAAGGAGGTTGTGAATGCAGTGTTCAAGGCCAGGTTGGACGAGGCCTTGGGTGATACGGTTTAGAGCGAGGTGTCCCTGCCCATGGCAGGGGGGTTGGAACTTGATGATTTTAAGGTCCTTTCCAACCCTAACCATTCTATGATTCTATGATTTTAGAAGTATTTATTTCTCGGATTCTTGATAATACCCTTCTCTCTTTCCCTTTTAATATGACCCCATTTGTTTTTTGAAATTAGAGAAAACAGCAACCTAAATCCCAATCCTGTAGCTAGGTGTTTAAGGTGCTATCTTGGGAAGGAAGACACAATGGTCTGACTTTTTTTCAGCTGATACAGAAGTCTTAGTGCCAAGTTTTTGAAAGCTGTATTGAATTCTTCAGCTGTTGAATTCTTGAATAGAGTGAGAACTGCACCTTCATATTTGCTTATTATGTTTTTGAATTAAAATTGATGTGGAGTTAAATCCTGCAGGTATCAGGTCCTATTCAAGTCCTCCAAGGACATTTAAGAAAGCTGCTTAAATTTATGTTTACACACTATGCCAAAATTCAGTCTACATTATTAAGTCCTTTTATATTTACCCTATTTCTTATGTACTTCCATGGTCTTATTTCTTCTGAGACTTCTAACTGGAGGAAAAAAAAAGAGATCATTTCAACCCAGAGTGATGACAATGTCATAGATGGATGGTAAGCAGCATTTAGGCAGGAATTAGCCACAGTTCTCCACCTAGTAACAGGGAATAATTTACTGCAAGGGGTATATAGAAGATAAAGAACACCAGACTATTAACCATTATTAATTCCAGTGATCAGTGATGAGAGGAACATGTAAGTTTTTCTTTTGTGTAATTGAAATACATTGATTTCAAAAACAGGTACTGAAGTTTTCAGACTTTTCTAATTCCTGTTCATTTTTTAAAATGTTTTAACTTGTTATTTCTAGGTTCACTACGAAACACCTGAATGATGAATCTACTTCAAAACAAATTCGAGCTATGCTGCAGTAGTGTCCTGAGACAAGTAGATGTTTGTATTGATCACAGAAGATGTGTATGTTTACATAATTTAATACAGTTTGATGTTAATACTTGTGTGTATTTACATAACCGTTTCCTTCACATTGCTAAAATATATGAATCTATTCATAACCTGACTGACTTTATATAGCACAGCCTAAGTTTTTATGCTAGCCTTTATCATTTTACTTTTAGAATACTTTTTTTTATTTAGATACTTCAACTACTACAGTTTATCTGTGCATTTTAATCCTTAAACGCCTCACTATCAGCAAAGTAAGTAGTAGTGAAGACAAAGTGGAAATCAAATAAAGACAAATGTCAAAGACAACACAAAAAATCAACTTGAAAAATAGAAATTTAACGTAAGGGAAAGTAAAATTCATGGGGTATGTTTTAAGAATGTGCACAGTTGTTAAGTCAGTTAGTTTATGAATAGGAGAATACCTAAATGTTCATCACTCTCATAAGATACCTGTAAAAAGTGGAGATCCACCTAATTTTAAGGCTTATATGCTGGCTGGAATCCAAAAACCTATTGCAAAGAGATCATTTTTCCTTTTTTATTAACTATAACTTGTACTTTTCAATAATTGAAGAAATTAATATCCTTTTTCAGGTTCAGTATAAATAAACAGAGAAAGTGTTCTAAGACCATTGTTAGATTTTGCAAATTCTGTATAATTGTATTAGATTTAGAAAGGAAAGAGAAAATACTAATGCCTTGACTTAACTAGGAATGGTTTATCAGTGTATATATACAATGGTAAACATTATGTCTCAAACAGGCCTACTTAATAAGTAATCCTTTTGCTGATACAAACTGGTATAAAGGAGAACACTCTTCTGCAGCAGCAAACTTCCCTGGAGTCAAAATGGTGTTAGAATAGGGATGATATAAATAAGTTTTAAGAGCTGAGCTCATCTAAGGAACATCATCAAGTTCCTTGGTAGTATTATTCATTAGATGATTCAGAGTTAACACAGAAATATTTGTCAGCTGTCAGCTCTTCATTGGTTTTCAATTGGATGTGATTGGTACTTCAAGGATTTGAATTAACTTGCCAAGTTGTTTGTTCTTACTCTTTAGTAATTTTTCCAATAAATGGAATAGAAATACTTTGCCAAAAGCAGCAAAGTGCTCATGCTCTGTTCAGTGTGTCTTCTGGGTGGTCTGGCATTGCTGTAAATATTCTTGCAGAGGTCACGTTCTGAAAACGTGTTTGGTTTTGTGTACTTTGCTTGCATGTATGTGTGAAAACTCCAGTGCTTGTGCACAGTTTCAGGGGTTTATTTGCTTATTCCTGTGTATGTAGTTCAGGGTTTGTGTGCTCTCACTGGAATTTCCATGCATATATCACTTCTAAAAACATTACCTTAAAACTTTGAAGATGCATTTGGTCTGCTGAAACTTTTCTGTGCAGTGACAGATTGAGTCATTGAACTCAGTCCTTGAACAGTATTACTGTCTAAGTTCTTTGGAGATTGCCTTAGAGTTTATCTCTGAGCAGAAGGACCACTATGAGGTTTCTCAAGCCTGATCAGAACCCTTAGGTGCCAATGTTAATATGGGTTGTGATACTGGACAGCACTGCAACTCCAGCGTTCATGTCACATCTGCAGCTGTAGCAGCAAGATCACTATGTTGTTGTCAGGAACAGAATTAGAAATCACACTAGGTTTGGGGGTTTTTTGTCTGGAAGCAGTGATTACACTGCTTTTTCACAATAGTAAATCCACTGTTTACAAGCTCCATTTTTAGTGGGGGGGACATTTAAAGATACATAGTGGGGAGAAGCCTGCCTTGTTCATAGTCATTTACAGTTAGGTAAATCTAGGTGGATGACAGTTCATTCTATTGAGCTTTGGTAACTGAAGTTAACACATGCTTACATGCAATTATTTGTCAAACAGTTAAATCTTTAAGCAGCCCAGAAGAAAGCTATTTGTCACTTGTATAATAAAAATGTAAACCTTAAAGCATTCTGTGAGTTACCATGTGCTGTTAGCCGAAGCTACTGAGTTTCTTTGCCTGCTCTGACGTTTTTGTACAGAAGTTTGTTTGAAATAATAAAAAGTTTGGTACATTAAGTATTGAGGCTGTCTATATTTAGAGACAACATAAACAGGTTGAGAAATATTTCATTTAAAGTTTTGGATCTGATACATAGTAGGCTCAGCTTTATGTATCCAGTTTACGCCACAACAGTATAACCTCACATCGCATAATTCCTGGCTTTTTTCTGATGATTCTGTACTTGTCTGTCATCTTGACCAGGGGAAATTGTTGATACTCTTTACAGAGTAGAGGCCGTGAATCCCTTCTATGGTTTTTATATCTTCATAGCAGTCATACTAGGCTGTGGTGGCCATCTCAGGTATTTATAATCAATAAGGTTGTCAGAGGATGATTCATTGAACCTTCAAAATAAGTGCAAATTAATTGCTCTAGGAAGAAGAGCTATATAGACTAATGGTCAAAGTTACTGATCTCCATTTTATTAATGTTTCTTCTTGACTCGTCATTATGTAAGAATACATATTTGTAATATGATCAATATTTAAGCCTCATAATGTCAGCATTTCAGAGTGTGCATAAGTGGCTATGACTGGTTTGGGTCAGAATAGACCTAAAGATTTGCTTGTTTTGTGGTTGAAGAAACTATTGTTTCAGTATGGTATGAAATTGAAAGACTAGAATTTGCTGCTGCAAACAAATGAATGGGTTTGAGACATAATTTATGACTTCTAAGCTCTCTGCTGCTCCTAAGTGGCTGTCACGAAGGATAGTGACTAAGATTATATTTACTGGTAACATCACTCAGATAAGTTATCTGTTTTTTTTTCCATGTCTACTGAAATTTACAAAGCAACAAAAAGTCTCATCTGTATTGCTTTTTGTGTTGTATTTCACAGAAGAAGATTTAAACTGAAGTGTAAGTAGTATATAAGATGGTTTGCATTCTTTTATTTACCCTGAATCAAACAAAGTAGGACATAAATTCCTCATACAAAATGATCTCTCTTCACCCTCCCCATGTACTTCTGGAGAAGTTTAATAGAATCAGCATATTCCTACAAAAATACAGTGCCAGTTAGGTGGATGCACATTTGGGAAATACTGCATTTTTTTTTCATGCCGCATCTGGTTTTGCCAAAACCAGTAGAGAATCATGTCTGTTTAGTTCTTGGTCTGAGATCCTTCTGAATTGCAACACAACCATCTGGTGTATCAGCACGGCCTCGCAGTTTTGTGCTACGTGCAGAATTCCTGGGGGTAGTTTCTGTCCTACCCTCTGGATCGTTAATGAAGATGTTAAATAGTCTTGGTCCTGGTATCAGCCATTGGGTACACCACTAGTGACAGGCCTCTAGATGGAGTTTGTGCTGTTAATCACAACCCCTTTGAGCCTCACCATTCAGCTAGTTCTTGGTATACTTCACTGTCTTATCCATGTTTCATCAGTTTGTCTGTGAGGTTTTTATGGGAGGCAGTGTCAAAAGCCTTGCTTAAGTCAACCTAAACAAGCCTTCAGTGACACTGACCAGTTCTCAGAATTCGTGTTTCATCCTATCGGGTCTCATAAACCTGTGTATGTCCAGATTGTTTAAATGTTCCCTAACCTGATCCTTCTTCACCAAGAGTAAGTCTTCACTGCTTCAGACTCTCTTTGGTCTCAGTGGCCTGGGATTCCTGAGCACAACTCATACTGTTAAAGACTGAGGCAAACAAGGCACCAAGTTCTTTACCTTTTCTGCATTCTTTTTCACCAGTTCCCATACCCAGGCACACATTTCCCATAGCTTTCCTGTTGCTGCTGACAGCCTTCACATCCTTCACCAGATTTAACTTCAGAAGGGCTTTGCCTTTCTTTACCCCAGCCACACAAGCTTCGACAGTGTCTTCATCTTCTTGTCACTGGTCCTACTTCCTGCAGGCTGTATCTTGTGTTTAAGCTTAGTCAGGACCTCTGTGTTCATCTATGCAGGCCTCTAACCATCTTTCCTTGTTTTGTGCTTATCAGGAAGGACTGTTCTTGAGCTTGGAGAAAATGCTCCTTGAAAATAAGACAGCTCTCCTGGGCTTCTCTCTAGGGCTGTATCCCATGCAGTTCTTCCAACCAGGTCCCCAAACAAGGCAAATTAAATTACCAAATTAAATTATTCCTGTGTATCATCTTGTAGGTAGGAATATGCTTTTAAAATAGGTAAGAATATGCTTTTAAGATTGCATATGTTATAGGATATTAGAAGTGCATGATACTACGAACATCAAAAGTCAAGAAATAAAAAATCTTGCATATCCAAAAGTTTGCTAATTCTTGCAAATAGTTGCATTTTTTGGGTTTGTCTTTTTTTCTTTAAGAAGCAGGACACTAAGTACTGTTCTCTTACCTAATGCAAAATAACAGAATCTATGAATTCACACTGTGAAGTAGATTAGATAACGCAGTGGAAGCCAGTGAACTTAAACTGTGACATGAATTAGATTTGCCAATAAGAGAATAATCCACATTTTGGTTAAAAAGCCAATGTAGCAGATCTAGTATTTTTATTTAGTAGTCTGTAATGCTTTCTGCTACAGACTAATAAAGGTGAATTCCTCACCTCCACATAATCCAAATTCTGCAAACACAAAATTCTCTTTCACACCGATTTGAAGCAAATTTAATTCAGTTTATTCCAGTGAAGCTATTTCTGATTGACATGGGTGTAAACAATACCCTTTGTCTTTTCTCAGTCATGGCCTTTGACCTAGGTTACTTATTACTGAGCAAATTGAGTCTTCTGCTAGTGCAGATCAATGACATAATGTGATGATCTTGCAGGGATCTCTTTTGCTTGACTGCTTTGAAATTAAAACTGAGGTGAACAGTGAAGTAGGTGTTCTAGAAAATCAGTAAATATATACTTAAATAGGCCAACCAAGCACTAATCCCTAGTTCAAAAGGCAGATATATCATGATTTTTCAACAGATCTCAATTTGGTATCCAGCTGGCATTAATATAACTCCCTTGTCTTGGATGTTTGGGCTGTTGCCGATTAAATATGTAGACTTGGGTGTGAGAATTTGGCGTACATGTTGACATTTTTAAATTGCTAACAGAACTTCAAGGTTAGAATATTTGTATGTGGCTTGGATCAAAATTGCTGTTACAGCTCATGATTGTTCTCATTCTGATTCAGCACCCACTTTAGTGAAATCCTAGGATTTAAAGACGTTTTCCATGGATTTTAGTGATGTGTCAAACAACTTTTAACTTACTGGCTTGAAAACTGTGAAAGAGTTTGTCAGTCCCCTCAGGACACACCAAAGAAGTCGAAAGAGGGCAGTGGAAGGTGATCAGCCTCAACTGGTTTAGATCATCCATAATGAAAATAGGACAAAACAGGAAACGTGACATGCAGTTCAGAAACTACGCTGTCCTGTGGGGTGTGGGACATGGCAATATCTGAAGGTCAGATCATGTTAGAGGGACAGGGAACTTCTGAAGGGCTTTGATCAGGAAATTACCCAAAATGAAGAACCCTGTCTCTTTACAGACCCAATTTTAGGATGCCATCGTAGGAGGAAGCTTAAAGACTCTTACTAACCTTACCTCCCTTTCTATGGCAGCAGCAGAGCGCTGTGGAGTGTTGCTGCCTGAGGGCCCACCTGAGACTGTAACCTCTGCTCTTTGGTGTGAGACAATGCAAGGTGGCTTACCTTAGCTCACCTGTATGCAGCCTCCATCTGCCTTCTCCTCTTGTTAACGGAGTCTTCCCAGTGGATTCAGAAAGATGGGACCTGAACCTCATTTTGGTTATATTTCTGAGAAGGTTATCGAAAAAAAGTGGTATTATTTTTCAACAGTAATTAATATTTGACAATTTCAGCTATATTTCTAAATTAAATGCTATAGTTTTACTGGATTTTTTTTCTCCCATTAGAATTTTCTGTGCAGTTCATATTTGTGTCTTTAATAAACTCATAATAAAGAAATGTCTGACAATGAAATATGCTAGTTCCATGATTTTTTTGTGTTTGATTTAGTTTAGGGTGACTGGGAAAAATAATGTTAACATCCATTTCATAGCTTTATTTTTGTATTGTATACAAGGGTGTGATTAATTATAGGCACTTTAACTATTAAACTCAGGCTTCAATGGCATGCAGCATTTTAATAGAAACCTTCCCAAACCAGATTTGTTACAGTGGACTTGAATTAAGTTTCTTAATTGTACTTCACCAAACAGGTATACATAGTCCCCATTACTGAGATACTGAATATATCAGTATAGGACTGAAACAGGTATTGCATCTCTATGAAAACTTTTTAATTTGGAGGAAGAAGAGTTGTATTTTCTAACCAACCTTATTAAAGGATTTTGCAGGGGGTTTTGTTAATGTGGATCAGATGATATGTACCTGTTTATTCTGATCTATTTTGGATTACACATACTCAGGTATATGTTCACAGTAGCATATATGATGTTTGTACAATGAAAGATCATTTGTAACCACTGACTTAGCCAATTATTTGCAACTGTGTTTTAAAACTACAGGATCAATGTCACATTTGTTTTGCACAGTCTGTCAAAGTGGCATTTACTTTATTAAATTTGGAGGCTTAAAAAGCTAATGGAGATTCCTTTTGTTCAGTGGTTTCATATTCACGTTGAGACCCGCTATTCTAATTGTATGTTACAAAACTATAATTACTCTGTGATATGCAAATAAGTCTTTTTTTTCTTTATTTTTGTCATTCATGATCTAATTGGCCAGATTTTTAAATAACACAATCCAGTGTAGGTTAAATGAAGTCAGAAAAAGTACTGAAATACATTCTATTTGAAAATTAATTTCAATTATTTTCTTGAAAAGTATTACATCTGAGATTATTTTTCAAACAAGTATCAGTAGTCCTCATTATATGTATTTCCTAGATAGGAACTGGGGTTTTACTGTTACAGATACTACCTGAATATGCAAGTACTTTGAATCAAGAAGCGTGGTGTAACTGAGCTGAGAGAAGACAACAGTTTTGATGGAGTTTGACACAGGTGCCCAAGCTGCTGATCACTGTTCATGTTGGAAAGTTTGAAATTCTTCAGTTCTTTCATACTTCCGAAAGTAAAAAGTCTCTCCTCTCTGACCCCAAGAACAATTTGAAATGCCATACTTAATAAAAATCAGCTAGTAAAGACTAACAAGCAAACGTTTGTGGTTTTTAGCTCTGAGAAGCACAGGCTTCAATTTAATTCAGTTATTTTCATGCCAGGTAGTAGTGGGGCCATTCCTGTGTAAAACAAAAGGCCCTGAAATAGCAGGGATTTGGCCTAGTGGAAAGTCAGTCTAGGATTTTGTGTCTATTTGGAAAGTTCATTTCTCCTGGGGCATTCATTCAATTGTATCACAATTGTGTTAGAAGCTTCTGCTGAAGGAACTTTCTGAGACATCTTTTATTGACTTCATGGGTCAAGAAGCATAAAAATGAAGGATGCATTCAAGACTTTGCACTGACGGGTCATTTACCTCCCTGATCTTGAAAGCACAAAGAAAGAAAATCATGGTCAGAGTACTAGCATCAGAGTTACAAAAGTGGCATTCTCTCCCTTTCTTCTTAATGGCATTATTTTTTATTTGTTTTTAGCATTTCTTCTCAAAATCAGAACATATATTTTTGCCTCTATTTGAAGCAGATGAATTCTGTGTGCACAGCTTTGTTCATATTGACCTAATACACTGTGTGAAGCAGACTTTTGAGTCCTGCCTACCACAGACATCTAGAAAATACGGGTAGCAGGTGTTCTAACCTTAATTTTCACTTGACATTTCAAGGGACATCACTTGAAAAAGCCATATGTCCTATGTACAGTCCTCCAGAGAGTATAGACAGACAGACCTACTGCTAAAGAACCCTCCTTCTTTCTTCAATCTCTATGTCAGGGGAGCCTGAATCAGTCCCCAAAATGCCTCTGTCTCTCCATGGTGGAGATCCTGGGTTATTACCTTGGACAACTCGTACACTGATCACTAAGAATCTAAGTGTTCCCAGTACCTGCAGGTTTTTGCTTTGAGCGATGTCTTGTGCTATCCTGTACTGGGATTTCTCCAACAGCAATAGAGGCAACACATCCAGCAATAGAATCATAGAATCGTAGAATAGTTAGGGTTGGAAAGGACCTTAAGATCATCAAGTTCCAACCCCCCTGCCATGGGCAGGGACACCTCGCTCTAAACCGTATCACCCAAGGCCTCGTCCAACCTGGCCTTGAACACTGCCAGGGATGGAGCATTCACAACCTCCCTGGGCAACCCATTCCAGTGCCTCACCACCCTAACAGGAAAGAATTTCCTCCTTCTATCCAATCTAAACCTCTCCTGATTAAGTTTTAACCCATTACCTCTTGTCCTACCACTACAGTCCCTAATGAAGAGTCCATCCCCAGCATCCCTATAGGCCCCCTTCAGATACTGGAAGGCTGCTATGAGGTCTCCACGCAGCCTTCTCTTCTCCAGGCTGAGCAGCCCCAACTTTCTCAGCCTATCTTCATACGGGAGGTGCTCCGGTCCCCTGATCATCCTCATGGCCCTCCTCTGGACTTGTTCCAACAGTTCCATGTCCTTCTTATGTTGAGGACACCAGAACTGCACACAATACTCCAAGTCAAGTCTCACAAGAGAGACTTGCTGGTCACACTCCTTTTGATGCAGCCCAGGATACAGTTGGCTTTCTGGGCTGCGAGCGCACACTGAAGCCGGCTCATGCTCATTTTCTCATCGACCAGCACCCCCAAGTCCTTCTCCACAGGGCTGCTCTGAATGTCTTCTCTGCCCAGCTGTAGCTGTGTCTGGGATTGCTCCAACCCAGGTGTAGGACCTTGCACTTGGCATGGTTAAACTTCATGAGGTTGGCATCAGCCCACCTCTCAAGAGAGTCGAGGTCCCTCTGGTTGTCATTCCTTCCCTCCAGCGTATCAACCGAGCCACACAGCTTGGTGTCATCGGCAAACTTGCTGAGGGCGCACTCAATCCCACTGTCCATGTCAGCGACGAAGATGTTAAACAAGACCGGTCCCAACACTGATCCCTGAGGAACACCACTCTTTACAGGCCTCCAGCTGGACATTGAGCCATTGCCCACAACTCTTTGTGTGCGGCCATCCAGCCAGTTCTTTATCCACCGAGTGGTCCATTCATCAAATTGATGTCTCTCCAATTTAGAGACAAGGATGTCGTGTGGGACAGTGTCGAACGCTTTACACAAATCCAGGTAGATGACATCAACTGCTTTACCGCTGTCCATCAGTTCTGTAGCCCCATCATAGAAGGCCACCAAATTGGTCAGGCAGGATTTCCCCTTGGTGAAGCCATGCTGGCTGTCACCAAGCACCTTGTTGTTTTTCATGTGCCTTAGCATGCCTTCCAGGAGAATCTGCTCCAAGATTTTGCCAGGCACAGAGGTGAGACTGACTGGTCTGTAATTCCCCGGGTCATCCATTTTCCCCTTCTTGAAAATGGGGGTTATATTTCCCTTTTTCCAGTTGTCGGGAACTTCACCTGACTGCCACGATTTCTCAAATATGATGGCCAGTGGCTTAGCAATTTCGTTTGCCAGCTCCTGCAGGACCCACGGATGGATTTCATCAGGACCCATGGACTTGTGCACACTCAGATTTTTAAGATGGTCTCGAGCCAATTCCTCTCCTACAGTGGGCCCAAGGTCTTCAATTCTCACAGTCCCTGCATCTGCCTTCCAAGACTTGGGTGGTGTGGTCAGAGCCTTTGCTAGAGAAGACCGAGGCAAAGAAGTCATTCAGAACCTCAGCTTTCTCCAAATCCCGTGTAGCTAGCTCTCCTGAGAGCTTCCTGAGGGGGCCTACATTCTCCCTAATCTGTTTTTTATTTGCTATGTACCTGTAGAATCCCTTCCTGTTATCCTTAATATCCCTAGCCAATATAAATGACTTTGGTTTTGTTCCATGTAGTTTATCTCTGAAGATCTAATTCAAAGCCTGTTCAAGTCATTAGCCTTCAAATTTTAAACAAACAAAAAACCCTAAACAAAACCCCTTCAGTCCTGCAAGTTGTAATTTCTTTGTGTGCACTAATAAATCATCTTTTCTGTCTAGTAGCACTCAGCTACCTGACAGCATCACTAGTGATGCTAATTTCCACAACAGGGTTCAGCAGTTCAACCTTACTGGGTTACTAGGAAGTCTTTTGACTTGCTCTCTCTGGTCTCTTCCATCTGTATCCACTTTGAATAAATGTTCTCTAAATACCATCTTTTAAAACATGTTACCTTACATTTACCAAACATGAGGTTTGTGCTCTGCCACGGCAGAGTTACACTGAATTTCCTTAGTAACATCTGAGCGTGAATCTGTTGTAATTACAGGAATCTTCACAGCTATTTTTTATTACCATAAATAATTGTTCAATTGGAAATATTCAGTAGGTACTCCAAAGCATTTATATCAGCAACAATATTCAACAACTGATAAAGTCAGAGCTGTATTATCACAAAGATTCTAAAAAATTTTGCTTACACAATTGCAACATTTAGTAAAATAAAGAATAAATAAACACTAAATAATATATGCTTATATTATTACATTGTAAGTGTCTCCTTGCCTTATAAAATAAATGTCCTCACTGTTTTAGGCCTGTTATTGTTTGTTTTCTTTTGAGATACAAAGAATGTTTGCTGATAGGATGGTGTTCAAGGGTGGATTCTAGAGCACACAAAGAGAAGATCTGCTCTTGAAACCACTCCAAAAGTTTTGCTCATCCAAGCAAAGTATAATAAACCTTCACCTCAGCTGGAGGTCTCAGCATCAGAACAAAACACTGTTCAATAACAGCTTTCAAAGACATGTTGATATTTTGCATTTGATTCCACTGAAGAAAATTACAAACTACTGATGGGCAAACAGCTAACATAAAAGAATTCAAATTTGTTGAGTTTTAACTTGAACTGTATTCAGTAAAAAGACTGCATAAATCTTGGCTGACTTTGGGCTATGTTTAAACTGACTTTTAATGATGACCTTTATTTCAATGACAGATTAAAAGCAAGTAAAGGTATGGCTCTTTTTCATTTAAAGCTTACTGTGATGATAGGAGTGAGAATTTGTCTGAGTGAAGTTATGGGGTTGGGTCATTTACCAAGACTGAATTTGCTTTAATTATTTATATTTTTTCCTGAGCTAGACTTAGTTACCCTCAACTGTTCTGACATGCAGAGATTCTGACAACCATGGGCAAAAAAGTCTCTGCTGGTGCAAAACTATTAATATAGGTGTCCTAGATGTAAAAAATAGCTTTTTATCACAGATACAGTATGGTGCACGAGACACAAGTCCGTAATGTGCTATTTATACATCATGAAATGCAAGACAGCATAGGGAAGGACTGAATTTGGCCATTAGTTTAATCTTATTAGGCATTTTATTTTTTCTTGGTTTTCCTTGCAAGGCGGATTTCTCCTTTATTACCAGTGGTACTTTGGAAACTTTTTTTTTTTTTTCTGTACTTGTATTTCATAGAATTTATTTTTTTTTTCTTCGTCAGATCTGCTTTTGTCTTATAGGGAAATAAAATTAAAAGACTGGTCTGTTATCTCATGTTTCAGTTAAGTCTATCATATATTTGCTTAGGGGTAAAAAAGGTTGAAGAAAAAAGGGAAATGTCAAAAATGAATAATAAATGGCGTATAAACAGAAGCAGATTTTCTGTGATATGTTATCTCTGATAAACTTGATAATGTTTCCCAAATGTGTTGCCTTGGTTCAGATCCAAATCTACTGGTCAGACTGTATGTGCTATTTTTAATTTTACTGCTTAAAAAACTTTACATCATCTTCTAGGAATTCTCTCCTACTGCATTGCTGTATCTAGTTATTTGTAGGTTGAAATTCATCTTAATATAGATTCATATAAAACATGTGTTACCACAGAGGCAGCAAAAAGACAGATCTGGGTGGGTAAAACAAGCTGGATTTGCAAGGAAACTCTTTTTCTCTTATTAATGAAATATGTTTTCCTTTGAGGTCACTTTGCTGTTTGATATTGTAGACTCCAAGGTCCTTCCATTCAGTAAACTTTCCTTGCCCTTTAAACAGTGAAATCAGAACGTCAGAGGCGAATACAAACAACTAGGGACAGGAGGACTGGAAATGTTTAGGATCCACAAAAAGCT